CTAATTGTTAACAAAATAAAAAGGCTAATATTCAAAGACTATTTAAGGAATGTGTAGTGTTGTATACATGGTGCAGAAATTGTAATGTTGGCTCCTATGCAGAACTTGTGAGGGCTACAAATGGTTATCAACTAATGAAAGAAAATCATAAATGGTATAACAAATATTTAGAGATGACAAAGTACCCTGTGTAAAAATATTTCCTAGTTGTAGGAGGAAAAATGTCTCCTATTTGACTGCATTGCATGAATATGAAAAGATAAAATTTGATGATTCTCAGATTTCTCAAATTGACACACAGTCTTTCATTTCTCATATCTCTGTTTGAAGATAATTATAAAATATAACATTATTAATAAAAATAGATATGATAGGTAACTGTATGGGTGAGAGCAGAGTTATTCAATGTGAATGAGTATTACCAAAAGCTGATGAGCCAATTGTAACTAACACTGATAATCTGCAAAAGTAATCATCTCTTCAATATATGTTAACCAGTTGCTTCTAAACCAAATAATTCCACTGTCATCAGTCAATTCCAACTCATAGTGACCCTATAGAGAAGAATAGAACTGCTCCATAGGGTTTCTAAGGCTGTAAATTTTTAAGGAAACAAACTGCCATTTCCTTCTCCCACAGAGCCTCTGGTGGTTTTGAACCACTAGGTTTTTTTTTTTATTTTTCTTCATTGTTAGAAGCTGAGTTCATTAACCACCAGTTTCCCCTAAAATTCAAAAATAAATGTTTATCTCTTGGAACATAAAGGGAGGTACAGCTGTTCTGTCATCCAGGAAGAACAAAATCACCGTGAGGATTACAGACAGCTCTGCAGGGGTCTTATGAAGATATAAATGAACAGGCAACATAATAACATTAAAATTGGATCTTACTAAAAATGAAGAAAAAAGAAGAAGAAACAGCTATTTTATGAAGCAAAGAAGCTTTTATGGTCTGCAAAAGCATTTTTCATCTCCATATGCATGTACTAAACTAATAGTGATAATTGAATATATGTACCATCTCAGTTAATATCCAAGCAGAATGTACATGGAGGGGGTCCTTGGTCACAGCATATGTTTAAAGTTTTATTCTATCACTTGTGCTTCCATCAAGTACTTGTCCTCAACTTTGAAATAATAATTCTCATGACTAAAATGCTCCTTATTCATACTAGTAAAGTCATCTTCAATTTTACTTCACCCATTCTAGTGGTTTCTGAATCACATAGTCAAGTGTTGTTGTTGTTATTATTTGCCATCAAATCGGACCCAGCTCATAGTGACCCTTCCTTGGGTTTCCAAGGCAGTGTCATATAAATTAATGCTGGTAATAAATACACACTGTTCTCCTTTCTTAAAACATGAGACTAATCTTTCCTAACAATTTGTTCATGGGAAAGTAATAAGGATCTCTAAAGATGTTATTACCTTTCAATTCTGATAGTATCATGCTTCTAATCAAGTTACATTCTTCTGACTTAAAATGACTATTTAAGTTTGTCTCTCAATGGCAGTGAGTTTGGTTTTGGTTTTTTACTAAAACTGAATATTCCTTTTGATGCCCAGGAACATGAACACTCATATTGAAAATACCAGGTAAGAAGCGAATGTACTGACATAACAAAGAAGTTCACAATTGTACAAGTCTTTTTAGATTTAGAATGATATGTGGGAATGATGAAGGGAATTGACTTGAAAAATAACCTCTTCACAATTTGTACTTTGAATTTATCTTGTAGTACTTTTGCTTAAATGCTCTAATCAAAGATATTACAACCAATCTATTTAACCTTTCCCTTCAGGTCTCAAATTGTCACACCTGAGTAAATAAGTAGGACAACTTTCTATAAGATTACTTCTCTGCAGTGGAATTCAATAAGAACCTCACAGTGAGTCCTTAATCTCTACTAATTGCTAGGAATGGGATATTATATTGTCAAAATTACTTACTTTATTTCAGGTCAGGCTATTTGGTTCAAACTCCTCAATATCATAACAGTAATAGCAGTTAACATTTATTGTTCTCATTCTCTGGACTAGACACTATGATATATTCTTCCTATATATTATCTCTTTTAATTCTTGCAGTGAACTTGTGAAGACAATTCTTTTATCATCGTTTTACAGATGAGAGTGTTGAGGCTTGGAAATATGAAGAGTTATGTGTTAAAATTATTTCACTACTAGTTTGAGGAGTTTTTACAAGTCCCTCTGACACCAAAACTTCTGTACCATATTTCCTACTTCTAGGAGGAAAAAAGTCTGCTTTTTAAATTTCATTTGGGAAAATAACAGTTATTCAGAATATTTTTGCTCAAATGCTTAAATTTCCTTGAGTACTTTCTTCTTCCTTTCAATGTATATAGTCTTTCCAATCTGCTGTTCTGTTTTCTTTCAATTTAGTGAATGGACTTTAATTGGGCCATGTCATTACTAGGTAACTTGATATTCCTTGAGGCATAGGTCTCCATGGGGCTCTGTTGTCGTGAGCGGGTTGCCTCAGGATTTCCTTCCATCCCTTACGTCAGAGAACTTAATAAGCAGCCTCTAACAGAAAATAATAATAATAATAATAATAATGATTTCTGTAGATTTCAAACCTATTTTGAAAATTGAAGCAGGTTGATTTAATTTATAATCACTGGAGCTCTGGTAGCATAGTGGCTAAGACACTTGCCTGCTAACCAGACGGCTGGCGGTTCAAACCCAAACCCACCAGCCACTCCTCGGAAGGAAAGTTGGGCAATCCTACTTCCGTAGAGATACTGCCTCGGAAACCCAAGGAGGGGTCGCTATGAGTCGGGTTTGACTCGACGGCACATAACAACAACATAACAATTTATAATCACAACAAAAATGCCAATAAAAAAAATTGACACATTTAAGGAAAGAATAATTTTGCATTTTAATTCCAGTAAAAAATATTCATAATGTATAAATATAGCATTTTATTACCAAATTTTCCTTACTTTTTGTCACATTAAAAACAAACAGAAAGGTGAACAATCTCTAAGAACAAATGCCATCTAGAATAAGAATAGCCTAGCTTGCAAATATATTAAATGGGAAAAACAGCTTATCTTTAAAAAGAGTGATTAGAATATTTACCCCTTTGCATGAACTAAATACTAGTAAATAATTTATTACAAAGTGCTAAAAATGAAGCACATTTGAGTGTGTATATCTTCATGGTATTTGATTTATAGTAATCATATAAAGGAGAGAAAAAAGATATTATCATCCTGTTCCAGAAGAGCAATAAATTTGGGTTTGGATCTTTTTCTTTTTCTTTTCGTTTTCTTTTTCTTTACAGTCTTCTCTTGCTTACCTCTCTTCTTTCTATCTCTACTTTTAAAAAGTTAAATTAATTTCCGTTGTTAGAATCTTTCAAGTGGCCTTCTGGTAACATTCTTTATTCCACAGTAACCCATAGGTCAGATGAGACTGCCACAGGCATGGCATCAATGGGATGCAGCAAGATGGGACTGGCACAATTCTCAAGAGAGCTCACTTCTGTCAACCCATTTCTTAATTTTCATCCTTAATTCCTTTCTTCTACCTTTTTAACTATTTTTTTTTTCTTTCAGTTTTACTAGCAGCCCTTAATGATTTTAACTTCTAAATAGCACTTTTACACAGTCATTTTTGTTCAGTTTGTGTTTCACTAAGAGTCCCATTCTAAAGCACTGTATGTCTAACCCACCATTCTGTAAATAGCCCACTGACATACCGAACAATTGTTCAGCTAAATTACCACTAATAATACTAAATACTAAACCAAACAATTTGCAAAGCAGCTTTTTACATATTATTGATAATCCATATGATAATCCATAACAAATTATCTTTATCTCTCATTTACAGGTGAAAAAACTTCTTAGGGTCACAAAATTGTAGAAGGTCAGTCTGTGGATGTGAGACTGTTGAACTCCACGATCCACTTAACTCAACCCACTACTCAGCTCTGAATAAAAATCTTCTGGTTCCTTAGGGTTCTGAGCCATATCTCCTTGATTTGTGTCTAAAGATAACATATGGAAGAGAATAAAATAATTCCCTGTATCAAGGGATAAGAGTCAATGATCATTTTTCATTATCAGGGTAGAAAAATATCTTTTATCAAATGTTCACTCTATAATCCAATTTATCTAAAACTTGGAAGGTTTTATTATTTTAATATTTTATTATTTTTTACCTCTTAATAAGAGCAATAAGAAAATTATAATAATGCTGATCCTTGTGAGTTACCAAAGTTCCTAAAACTTACAGAGATGAGACATCATACTACAAAAATCCAGGATTAAGTCATATATATGGTGGTTATGATCCCAATTATACCACTTTGTCAATGTTTCGAGTATGCAACTCAACATTAGCTTTGTTGCATTATCCATTAAGTGGACAAAATACCTTTTGTTGCACTAGATTGTTAAAAGAACTGAATAAGACAATGACCATAAAAACGCCTTAGGTATGTATCTAATTCAAAAGTACTACAAGTTTTGACAAGTGGCTTTAGCAGGAAATAATTGTTATTTTTATGTTAAAATTATCTTGAGAAAAATATATGAAACTGAGAACGTATTTTATAAATGACAGTAATTAACACAGAATACTCATATCAGGGTTAAAATCTGACTGCTTCTTTTAATAAAATAGGACCAGATTTCATTTCTGTGTTGCAATAAAAATATTAATGAATGTAAGAATTTAATTATTTTGTTTTCTTTTTAGTCTGGAGATTAGTTGACCAATGAATGAGTGTAACCATCAAATATTGGTTTGTTTTAAAAAATAAAATAAAAACTTACCTATATGCATTGCTTTCCTATATACGCTTTCAAAGTTTTTTTGTTTTTCATTTTAAAATATTTACAGTAGGTTGGTTTCCATCTTGAATATCACCATGACTAAGAAGTTTTTCCAGCTACTGCTTTATAATTTGATGCTGACTGAAATTGTCCTAAGTGGAAATGTGCTAATTTGGCCTTCGGATGGTAGCCACTGGTTAAATATTAAGATCATTCTAGAAGAATTGATTAAAAGGAATCACAGTGTGACTGTTCTGGCTTCATCAGCAACTCTATTCATCAACTCCAGTCCTGATTCTTCTATAAATTTTGAGTTGATACCTGTTTCCTTTAAGAAGAGCAATATAGATGCCTTAATTGAGCACATTATAATGCTGTGGATAGACCACAGACCAACTCCTCTTACACTCTGGTCTTTCTACAAAGAACTAGGAAATCTTCTAAAAAATTTCTTTGTAATTAATTTGCAAATCTGTGAGGGAGTATTAAATAACTCCAAACTAATGTCAAGACTTCAGAAAGGTGGTTTTGATGTGTTGGTAGCAGACCCAGTAACAATCTGTGGTGATCTGGTTGCTCTGAAATTAGGAATTCCATTTATATACACATTGAGATTCTCTCCAGCCTCAACAGTGGAGAGACACTGTGGGAAAATTCCAGCACCTGCTTCCTATGTACCAGCAGCCTTATCAGAGCTCACTGACCAGATGACCTTTGGTGAAAGGGTTAAAAACACCTTATCTTATCCACTGCAAGACTACATATTTCAATCCTATTGGGGAGAATGGAATTCATACTACAGCAAAGTTCTAGGTAAGCCTCCACAATTTCTTTCTTATAAATTACTCAGGATATCTGGTGTTTGTTCTTATTGTTAACATAGCAAAATACTTTCATCTCACTCCATATATCAAGCTGAAAATAATTGTACATATTTTATTTTTGTACAATTCCTTGATCATTTTTTGGATACATTTTTAAATTAATATATATTAATATGTATGCTGTTAGTCATTTAATCCAAATGATCTTCTGCCAACATAGGTAATAACATTTCAATTTACAAATAAATCTTTAAATATAAATCAAATTATCTTTAAAAGGATACATTATAATTTCCCCTACCCCCCCCAAAAAAAAAATCAGGTACCTGAGTGAACATGTGTGAACTAAAAAACTGAACCAAACTCACTGCCAGCTAGATGATTGTGACACATAGTAACCTTCTAGAACAGAATAGAACTGCCCAATACGGTTTCCAAGGCTGTAAATCATTACTGAAGATCCACAGAGGGGCTGTTGAGTTCAAATGGCCAAACTTTTAGTTAATAGTTGAATGTTTTAACCATTGAACCAACAGAACTCCTTCAAAAAACAAGACAGCCCCTTGCAATTATTTGAGATGATATGTTATTCACATACGTCCTTTGTTCTTTACCCTTTTCGTTGCCTTCAGAAAACATTACAAGGCATAGTACTGGGCATTAGAAAATTGGAGTTTCTACTCTATCCTCCCTCTTATTCTTTCCTCATCCTTAGGCTTCTCTGAGTCCTTGGACTAACATTGTATTTCTCAGTTTACTTCTCAGTATCCTTTGACAAGACTTTGTTTCTTTGCCTCACAAATTCTACATAAGGGTCAAACTAAATAATGTGAACTGCCAAGGCCAGTTCTGGTTGGTTGTTTATATTACTTCCCTTTCTACCTTTTCAAGTTTTCCTTCCTTGCTTCTGTATTTCCTACCATCCTATATTCTTTCTGTTCTTATTCTTTCATCCCTTATTCATTCTTCCTTCTCTTTTTCCTCCGGTCTTGCTTTATTTGTTTGAAAAGTATTTAATGAGCACCACCCCAGTCCTACAGAGACAACGCAGGGACGCCAGAGTAGCAGGCCTGAAGAGCAGGGAAGGGGATAAAAGCCTTGAGCCCCAGGCTTACAGGTGAGGAGAGACAATGCAGGGACGCCAGAGTAGCAGGCCTGAAGAGCAGGGAAGGGGATAAAAGCCTTGAGCCCCAGGCTTACAGGTGAGGAGAGACAATGCAGGGACGCCAGAGTAGCAGGCCGGAAGAGCAGGAGAAAAGGGGATTAAAAGCCAGGAAGCCAGACAGAGGAACAGTCAGCCAGGTGGGGGTGATAAGAGAGGTCTCCAGCAGCAGGACAAACTTGTCTGTCGGTTTGTCCTACTGTGGTGACATATAGATGTGAGTTTTGGAGGCTGAGCCTCTGGTGTTTAAAACCCAGAGAGATGCACCTGGTGCACAGGTAACAGCCCAGCTTATAGACTGAGACAGACTAAGAAGAAGGAAGAAGGAAGAAGGAAAAACAAGTGGAAATGCTTGTGGGCCTTAATGAGGGAATATCTTTACTGTCACTTGACAGTAATCTTACATTTCTTAAGTAGAATTTATGTACCATTTTTATTTCCCTCCTGTTAGAATGTTATTCTTCCAGTTTTCCATCATTTAAACTTGATGGGGAGAAAGGATTTTGAACATATCACACAAAAAGGAAATATATACAAGGAAATAAAAATTTCCATATAGTCTTGAAAATGCAGTAATTAGAATTTTGAAAGTAATACTTTATTTTTTTCTGTTCTTATGATGTGACTTAACCATATTTTTTTCCTCTATTTCAAATTTATATATTCAAAAGCATATTTTCCTTTACATTTTTATATTATTCATATGGTTATTCCTCAAGACATTTCAAAATATGTTCTATGATACTGTCCAAATATATTTTGTACACTATTGCATGTACTGAATAAGAAAACAGTCCATATTCTTTAAATAAGAGATGACAAAAAATACAAAGGTGATAGCTATTAGAACACACATAAGGTTCTGGATTCAAATGCTACTTGCGTTACACAATCTCAAGAAAGTAACGTAAATTCTTTGAGTCACAGTTCTTTTGTCTCTTTCAAATAAAGTTAATAATTGCACTGAATATTTTAGGAGGGTTATTGACATCATAAATGAGAATACATTATGTGAATTATAAATAATTATACTCACAACAAAATGCATGGGTGCTATGCAATGACAAAGCACTAATTACACTACCATGGAATTCTGAATATAGAAAGTAGTAAATGAGTATCTGAAGGAAATAAATGGTCTCTGGGGTATCCTAATCTTCCTTCTTAAAAGAATCCTTGATATATAATGTGGGAAAAACTTTTTGTAGAACAGAAAGTTCCCAACTTCTAATCTTTACAGGATAATTCTCTAATTACAGAAATCCCACCCTTGAAGAAATTAAGTGTTGAATTTACTTAAATCTTGTCTTCTCCTCATATTACTAAACCATAAATTGGTAAAGTCCAATTTGTCTTTTGTTTGCAATTACATTCTTAAAGTATTACCAGTATCTTATAATTGTAAACTGATCCTGAAATGGAGCAGGTATCTTATATGCTATGTTATTTGAACACTGAAGACTTAACAACTGATGCTATTCTTATTAACTGAATTTCTAGAAAATGTTCATTACAATAGTTGCCTGTGTGGGAAAAACAGACAAGAAAAATGTCATGCTGAACTGTGGTAAAAAAAAAAAAAAATGCTAAGATTTTGTAGGAGATAAAAGTAGCAAGGTAATATTTACATACACTGGTTATAAACACCGTTTTCTGTATCAGTGAAACCAATTGCCATGGAGTAGATTCCAACTCCTGGAGAATATGTTATGTGAATTATAAATAGGAGTAGAATTGTGCTTCATAGGTTTTCCATACCTGATTTGTTGGAAGCAGGTCTCCAGGCCTTTCTGCAGAGGTGCCTCTGGATGTTAGCAATTTTGATTAGCGTTTGAGTACGTCACCTATTTGCACCCAGGAAATTCTCTGTATCAGTAAAGAGATCTTATATCTTATGTATAAAGTTAATAAACATATTCACTAATGTGTATTTAGCTATATGTATATGCTTCATTAGTTTTGTGTCACTGCAGAACCCAGACTAAGACAATGTCCTACTATATTTATACCATAATTTTCTGAGTGCCTACGGCATTTAACTGCTAACCAGAAGGCTAGCAGTTCAAACCCACCAGCCACTCCTTGGAAGGAAGGTTGGGCAGTCTACTTCTGTAGTGATACTGGCTCTGAAATCCAAGGAGGAGTGTCTATGAGTCGGATCCGACAAGACAGAAATGAGTTTGGCTATTTTTTTGGTAATTCTTCTGAAGTTGATTTATGAAGGAAGGAACTCATTTAATTTAGTTTCATATACGTAACAACTTTCTGCAAGTCAATTTATTGATGCTTTTCCCATATATTTGACATGTCAAAATGATTTTATACAATCATGAGTTTCTTCATGGCTTTCTACTCTATTGCGTTTAACGTGTCTTTCCTACATCAATATCACACTGCCTTAATTGTTGTTGTTGTGAGGTTCAGTAGAGTTGGCTCCAACTCATAGTGCCCCTATGTACAAAGGAATCAAAGAAGGAAGCACTGCCCAGTCCTGTGCCAGCCTCACTGTTCTTGCTACACATGAGGCCCTAGTTGTAGCCACTGTGTCAATCCATCTCCTCGAGGATCTTGCCCTTCTGTGCTGATCCTCCACTTTACCAAGCATGATTTTCTTCTCCAGGCAATGGTCCCTTCTGACAACATGACCAAAGTAGGTGAGATGAAGTCCAGCCATTGTCGCTTCTGAAGCACATTCTGACTGCCCAGGACAGATCTGTTTATTCCATAGTATTTTCAGTATTCTTCATCAACACCCCCATTCAAAGGCATCAACTCTTCTTCAGTCTTCTTTATTCATTGTCTGTTGTTGTTGTTGTTGTTGTTATGTGCCGTTAAGTAGGACTCGACTCATAGTGACCTGTCCTTGGGTTTCTGAGACATATCACTACGGAAGTAGATTGCCCAATCTTCCTTCCGAGGAGTGGCTGGTGGGTTTGAACCACCAGCCTTCTGGTAAACAGTCAAATGCCTTAGGCACTATGCCACCAGAGTTCCTATTCATTGTCTAGCTGTCTTAATTACTATTACTTAATTAGTATAATTCAGTCATTTGATCCAACTTTTTTTTTTTTTTTTTCAGTTCAACATTAAATGAAAGCTGTCATTCTAAGGCATTCTCATATTTCTCCTGTTTAAGAAGGTTTTGCTGTTTTGGGTCCTTCGATCTTTCAAATATATTTAAGAGGTAGTTGTAAAAATTCCCAGAAGCACTATACCAATTTTGACTGAAGTTCATTGACTACTTCAAATTGCGAAGAATTGGCTTTTCTGTAATATTATTTTTCCTGTTGTTGTTGTTATATGCCATCAAGTCGGACCCGACTCATAGCAACCCCTCCTTGGGTTTCCAAGGCAGGATCACTACGTAAGTAGACTGCCCCATCTTCCTTCTGAGGAGTGGCTGGTGGGTTTGAACTTCCAGCCTCTGATTAGCAGTCAAGTGCCTTAGGCACTATGCTACCAGAGCTCCTACAAGTTTGATTAAACAGTATATATTAACAATGTGATTAAGGTGAATACCTGTGTTTGTTTTGGGGATCTGAGTGTAAGTGGCTGAGGTCAGTTAGGCTTGGGTGAGCCTATCTCTATACCACTTCAGAAACCCAAGTAGGGGTCACTATGGGTCAGGGCCTACTTGACGGCACATAACAACAACAACAACAGTCAAACTTGTACAGTGTGGCCCAAAGCCATATAGAAATATTCTTTTCAAGTAGACCATTCAAGGGGCTCAGAGCTCAGCTCCCAAGACTCAATTATGAGCAAATTGTGATAAAAGGCCTATGAGAAACCCAGGCTTATTGAGTTATTCCTTTCCTGTACAGCTT